AGGACCTTAAGAGTATTATGCTAAGTAAAATAAGCCAGCCAGAGAAACACAAATACCATATGATTTCACTTATATGTGGAATCTAATGAACAAAATAAACAAACAAAATAGGAATAGAGTCTAAGATATAGAGAACAGACTGACAGCTGTCAGAGGGGAGGGTGTTAGGGGACTGAGTAAAAAAGGTGAAGGGATTAAGCAAAAAAAAACACCTCATAGATATAAACTCATCATTTTAAGTGTACAATTTGATGAGTTTTGACAAATATATATATACTTATGTAAACATCTGCAAAATCAAGATATAAAAAATTTCTATCATCCTAAAAAGTTCCTACGTAGCCCTTTGCAGTCAATCTCTTCCTTCTATCCCTAACCCCTGAGAGTCACTAAATCTGCCTTTTTCCACTTGTGTCTTTTCTAAAATCTCATGTAAGTGGAATTACATATTCTGTAGTCTTTTGTGTCTGGCTTTTTTTTTATTATTATTAAAAATATATTTTATTGATTTTTTACAGAGAGGAAGGGAGAGAGAGATAGTTAGAAACATCAATCAGCTGCCTCCTGCACATGTCCCACTAGGGATGTGCCCGCAACCAAGGTACATGCCCTTGACCGGAATCGAACCTGGGACCCTTCAGTCCGCAGGCCGATGCTCTATCCACTGAGCCAAACCGGTTTTGGCTGAGTCTGGCTTTTTTCACTTAGAATAATGCTTTCTGAGATTCACCTATGTTGTTGCATGTATCAGTAATCATGTTTTATGGATACATTGCAATTTGCATATTCATTCACCAATTGATGGACATTTGGGTAGTTTCTAGTTTATGGCTCTTATCAATAAATTTGCATAACATTTGTTTACAAATATTTGTGCTTTACTTTCTTTGGGGCAAATACAGCTGCCTGTTTTGTAAGTAAAGTTTTATTGGAACACATCACAAGCACATAGAAGTAAAAGACATAGTTTCTGCTCCCAAGAGACTAGAAGACAAACTTAGAGTTTGCAGTAGCCATCTAGGTGAAAATTGTTAATATCTAAACAAAGGCCTGGGAGGGACTAGAAAATAAAGAATGATTCCGGAGAAGAATTCCAGGAGTGATTTGGATGAGGTAGTAGTGAAGTGAATAGGTCACTCATTTGAGAAGTTTCACTAAGTAGGGAAGATGTGAGTGTGGGAAACAGAGTAAAAAGAGGAACATCTGAAACATGAAAAGGACATAGCAGACAGAAATGTATGTGTGTGTATATATATATATATATACATATATATATATATATATATATATATATATATAGAGAGAGAGAGAGAGAGAGAGAGAGAGAGAGAGAGAGAGACTAGAGGCCAAGTGCACGAAATTTGTGCAAAGGTAGGGTCCCTAGGTCTGGCTGGCGATCAAGGCCAGTTGGGGCCTTCCTTCATTCTGCGCTGCCCCCTGGTGGTCAGTGCACATCATAGTGAGTGATCGAACTCCCGGTCTCCTGGTCGAACTCCTGAGGGGACACTTTGCATATTGGCCGTTTATATATAGAGATATACAATAGTCATGTATTGTTGGTACATAATTTATAGTTGCTAATATGGGTAAACACCCATGAAATGATTATGATTACATTTAAGAAATCCTATATGATAAAAGCCTAATATGCTAAGTGTCTGGTCATCCAGTTGTCCGTTCAACCAATCAAAGCATAGTATGCTAATGATATGCTAAGGCTGCTCAACGGCTTGCTATGACATGCACTGACCACTAGGGGGCAGACAGTCAACTAGTTAACCAGTTGCTATGACTGCACTGACCACAAAGGGGCAGATGCTCCAACTGGTAGGTTAGCTTGCTGCTGGGGTCCTGCCAATCAGGACTGAGCGGGATGGGCTAGATACGCCCTGGAGCCCTCCCGCGGTCCCTCCCCAGTTGGCCAACCTCCTGTGTCCCTCCCTGGCCCCGATCGTGCACCAGTGGGGTCCACAGATTATGGACCACATTCTGATTAGCAGTGGCAAACCATTCTAGATCTCAAAAGTCTCATTATCTAAGAAACCAAATATAAACTTATTGTCCTCTAAAGACTCTATCAGTTAGCTAGATCTTGACTGATTCTAACAGGCAAGCCCTTATGTTCTCTCCCACATAAGCTACTTGTTTTTAACCCATTGCTTTTTTGCCTCTGTTTACCCAAAGCATCCTGAATACATTTCATAGATGTTATATCACAATGGAAATAGTTATTTTCCTTAGAAAGCTTTCCTAGGACAAATTTACCTAAGTGTTACCTCTTCAGCATTTGTATTTTCTGACACATACTAGTACAGATTTATAGTATTTGTATTGTTTTCTTTATTAGAGAATAAATTGCTTCAGAGTACAGTCTAATTTTTATCACAAATATAAAAATGTCTAGAATATAGCCACATAGATACCAAAACAGTAACGAGTATATGTAAGTAATTATCTGCCTAAGAATATATGTGCATGGGGAGAGAAATTATTGGTGTTTATATAAATACTGACTTCTACTATGGGAATATGCATTCACCCTTTTTCTCCCATGCCCTGCTTTCTCTGATTTTCTTACTAGGCTTATTTCCATTAACTCTGGACCCTAAAACCGCGCACCCAAATTTGGTGCTGTCCAAAACCCGAACCAGTGTGTGGCATGGTGACATTAAGCAGGTAATGCCCGATGATGCAGAGAGGTTTGACTCAAGTGTGGCTGTGCTGGGCTCAAAAGGCTTCACATCTGGAAAATGGTACTGGGAAGTAGAAGTAGCAAAGAAGACAAAGTGGACAGTTGGCGTTGTCAGAGAATCCATCATTCGGAAAGGCAGCTGTCCTCTAACTCCTGAGCAAGGATTCTGGCTTTTAAGATTAAGGAAACAAAATGATCTAAAGGCTCTGGATTTGCCTTCTTGCAGTCTGAATCTGACTAACGACATTGACAAGGTGGGCATATACTTAGATTATGAAGGAGGGCAGGTGTCCTTCTACAATGCTAAAACCATGACCCACATTTACACCTTCAGTAGTACTTTCACGGAGAAACTTTATTCCTACTTCTGCCCTTGCCTTAATGATGGTGGGGAGAATAAAGAACCACTGCATATTGTGCAGCCACAGTAATTAGTCATACTATTGTATAAATTCAGAGCATTATTAAAGAAGTATTGAAATAGTTTACCAGTCTCACTGGTTTCTCTTCCCAATTTAATAATGAATACTGAAAAAAGGATTCACAAATTAAATTCCATTCTCAGTGGCCTAAGTGGATTTCACCGGAGTCCTTCAAGATATTCTAATTCACTAGGGGCTTCTGTGACACAGGAGCCTCTCTCATGAGAGTGATAATCATGCTATTGTTACTGAAGCAAACTGCAACTTGAGTTTGTGATGCTTGCGTACCCTTTTCAAATGTGCCCAGAAATTCTATTATGCTGTCATTAGTCTAGCATAATGACTCTGCATTAGATGAATTTTCAGAAGTATACTCTTCTTCCTATTTAATTTTCTTTAAAAAATCCTCACCTGAGGATATTTTTTTAAAATATATTTTTATTGATTTCAGAGAGGAAGGGAGAGGGTGAGAGAGATAGAAACATCAATGATGAGAGAGAATCAATTGGCTCACACTGGGGGGTGGAGCCCGCAACCCAGGCATGTGCCCGTGACCAGAATCCAACCCGGGACCCTTCAGTCCACAGGCCAATGCTCTATCCACTGAGCCAAACCAGCTAGGGATGAGGATATGTTTTTCATTGATTCTAGAGAGAAAAGAAGGGAGAGGGGGAAAGAGAGAGAGAAAGTGTTGGTGTGAGAAACATCGATTGATTGCTTCCCATACATGCCCCAACCAGGGATTGAATCCACAACCTGGGTATGTGCCTGATTAGGAATCAAACCCGTGACACTTCACTGCATGGGATGATGGTATAACCATCTGAGCCATACCAGCCAGGGCTTAATTTTCTTTTAATATAACTTTTGCAACACATTTCTTTTCTAGAACTTGTTACTGTAATTTTTAAAAACTGCTCCAGAGATTTAAAGAAAAAAAGAAAGAAAAAAGTCTGGGCCAGTTTATAATCTTGTCTTGAATTATCTCAAGATACTTTTTAGTCCAGTGAATCTGACTCTTTTTCAGAGGCCCTTTTCTTGCTTTATCTATCTACTAGAGGCCCGGTGCATGGATTCATGCACTGGTGGGGTCTCTTGGCTGGCCTGTGCCCTCTCATAATGGCCCCTCAGGGGATGTTGGACTGCCTGTTTCGATCCGATCCCCACAGGACAGGCCAAGGGACCTCACCAGTGCATGAATCCATGAACTGGTCCTCTAGTATGCATATAAGATCTTTGGTTAATCTTTTCTCCCCCCCGCCCCGCCACCCCCACCCCGCCACACACACACATTTCCCTCTGAGATTCATCAGTCTGTTCCATGTTTCCATGCCTGTGCATTGAGTGTCTGCCCCTTGGTGGTCAGTAGCATCATAGCTACTAGTCGAACAGTCGGACGGTTACTTAGGCTTTTATATATAGAGATGAGGCACTTGTTTTTCTGTATTCAAATACATTTAAGCATTTCCATCTGCTATGTCCTTTTCATCATTCTTGTCTACAATTTAAATATCAGTGTTTTTCATCTTGTACTCTCTAATATACTCATCCTCCAGCTTGATCCTTTTTTAAAGTCAAAAGTGCTTAGTAGCATTGATATTAGCAGTACTTTTGATGAACCATCTCTATTGCCTTTCCTTGGAAGTCGCATATAACTGGCCTTCATTCTCTACATCTGACAGGGTTGTTTTAGGGGAGGGGAATGGGTGTTTAAGACCTAAAGCACTGGCCATCTAAAATTACAATTAGCACAATTCTTGCGCAGGATGAAAGCCTCCTATCTGTCATAATGGGAAAGATACACACATATTACAGGTAATAGTCATGTATTGTTGGCACATAATTTATAGTTGCTAATTTTGGTAAACAGCCATGAAATGATTATGATTACATTTAAGAAATTACTTTTTAAAAATGAACTCACTTTGTCCATGATCCTGGCATGTGCCCTGACCGGGAATTGAACCAGCACACTCTCAATGCATGGGATGACAGTCAACCAACTGAGCTAAACGGCCAGGGCAGGGCTTGTTTTATGCCCGGACCCTTGCAAGATGTTTGAAAGGAAGCAAAAGAAGTACAAAAAGAAAAAAGATTTCTCCAGAAAGATTTCAAAGAAATTCAGATGCTTGGACCTCATCCAAGACCATTAAAGCAAAATGTCCAGCAGAAGATTTATAGTTTCTAAAGGCTCTCATGTGATTCTAATGTGCTACTAGGTCAGAGAATCATTGAACTAAAGGGATATATTTTCTCTAAAATTTTTAAAAAATTTATACAGAAAAATTGCACGTTTGGAAGATAAACTTCAAGGTACTCTCCACCTAGATTCACAAATGATTAACATTTTCCCATATTTTCTTAGTCACCCCCACATCCACTCCATATGATTTTTTTGTATACACACACACACACACACACACACACTAGAGGCCTGGTGCACGAATTTGTGCACCAGTGGGATCCCTAGGCCTGGCCTGTGGGATCAGGCTGAAACCGGCTCTCTGACATCCCTGAGGGGTCCCAGATTGCGAGAGGGTGCAGGCCAGGCCAAGGGACCCCACTGGTGCACGATCGGGGCCAGGGAGGGACACAGGAGGTTGGCCAGCTGGGGAGGGACCACGGGAGGGCTCCAGGGTGTGTCTAGCCCATCTCGCTCAGTCCTGATTGGCAGGACCCCAGCAGCAAGCTAACCTACCAGTCAGAGCATCTGCCCCTTTGTGGTCAGTGCAGTCATAGCAACTGGTTAACTGGTTGACTGTCTGCCCCCTGGTGGTCAGTGCATGTCATAGCAAGCCGTTGAGCAGCCTTAGCATATCATTAGCATACTATGCTTTGATTGGTTGAACGGACGACTGGATGACCAGACACTTAGCATATTAGGCTTTTATCATATAGGATTTCTTAAATGTAATCATAATCATTTCATGGGTGTTTACCCATATTAGCAACTATAAATTATGTACCAACAATACATGACTATTGTATATCTCTATATATAAACGGCCAATATGCAAAGTGTCCCCTCAGGAGTTCGACCAGGAGACCGGGAGTTCGATCGCTCACTATGATGTGCACTGACCACCAGGGGGCAGCGCAGAATGAAGGAAGGCCCCGACTGGCCTTGATCGCCAGCCAGACCTAGGGACCCTACCTTTGCACGAATTTCGTGCACTTGGCCTCTAGTCTCTCTCCCTCCCTCTCTCTCTCTCTCTCTCTCTCTATATATATATATATATATATACACACATTTCTGTCTACTATGTCCTTTTCATTCTTGTCTATAATTTAAATGTCAGTGTTTTTCATCTTGTCCTCTCTAATATACTCATCCTCCAGCTTGTTCCTTTTTTTAAGTCTAAAGTACTTAGTAGCATTGATCTCAGCAGTACTTTTGATGAACCATCTCTATTTCCTTTCTTATATATGTGTGTGTGTGTATAAATATATATGTATACGTATATATATATATTATATATATACGTATACATATATATATATAACCCTAATATGCAAATAGACTGAATGGCGGAACAATTGAACAACCAAATAACCAGTCGCTATGATGTGCGCTGACCACCAGGGGGCGTGCACGGAACATGGTGGGCATCAGCAGCAGGTGGCAGAGTGCAGAACATGGTGGGCATCGGCCGTAGCAGGATGGTGGAGCAGGTGAGCGGGGGCACCAGACCAAGGTGGGGCGCTGGTCACTGTCATCAGGGTGAGCTTCTGGTGGTTACTGAAAATTCTTTGTTCCTGCACACTGCGGTCCTGCTGGGCGCCTGCACCTGCTGCTGGTGCTGGCCCTGCTCATACCTGCTGCTGGCACCAGAACCACTGCTTGCACCTGCTGCCAGCACCCGGCACCGGTCCCGATCGTTCAGCGTTGTCAGTAGGAGCAAACAGCGACTGCTGGCCCTGATTGCCTCTCAGGTCTTCTCCACCTTCCCCTGCTCCTGAGGTGTGTCTCTTATGGATGTGAAAAGCTGTAATCTGGTATAGTCTCACACTGACCACTGGGTACAATGGCTCTTGGATCTCCAAGGAGGTGCAAAGTCAGCCACTACCTGAGGCCACCCAGCAGGAGCTACAGAGAGATCTGTATATTCCTCCTCTTTGTTTGGGGTTTGGAAGTGCCCAGATGAGGCCCAGCTATGAAGCAATGCAGGCTGCTGCTGCTGGGCCTTAGGCCTTCTTTTGGAAGCTTTGGAGCTCTCTGACCCAGCTGCAGTTTGTTAGGTTTTAGGTTGCAAAAGGACAGGCTATTCATATGCAAAAGCCACTGCGCATGGCTTGGGTGGGGTTGTAAATTGGGTGGGGCGGAGTCTCAGAGAATCACCAGGGCGGAGCAAACAGCAATGGCTGCCAGTCAGCCCTGCCTCAGAGAGGTCCCTGGGCCTCTGTGTCCCGCGGCCCCATGCAGGAACAATGATCGCTGCAAGCACCTCTGAGAGAAAGCTGCCCTGTGTTCCGGCCCGATGCCAGACAGTCCAGTTTCTCCCCATATGAGTCTGGGTCCCCAGAGTCTCGCCTGGAACTGGAGTTCAGAGCAATCAGGAGCTTGTATCTTTCTCCTGATTGAAAAAAACAACAACAGCGCACCCAGTTGCCCACCTGTTTCACGCTGCCTCCACACCTCTGCACCTCCTACCAGTCTCAATGTGCCTTTTTCTTTCCTCTAGTTGTAGAACTTCCACTCAGCTAGCTTTCCCGTGGTTCTGGATGATATTTGTTTTGTCTTTTAGTTGTAGCTTTGATGTGGTTGTGAGAGGCAGCAAGTACAGGTGTTTACCTATGCCACCATCTTGGTTGTTCCCATTTTTCTTAAAAATGATTTTTTGTGTGGTGATGGTTGCATAGCTATATAAATATACTAGAAATTAGTGAACTGCACATTTATAATGGACAGATTTTACCAGTTGTAAATTATACCACAATGAAGCTCTTTAAAAAAATTTAAAAAGTAAGATTTTATTCAGATCACCAGGAGAAAAAGGACAGACCACAAATGTATACAAATTTTCTACTGTCTACATATGTCTACCTTAATACTTACTTTGACACAC